CTTAAACAGTAGCTTAACTTCTTTCTGAGACAGGGTTTTTCTGTGACTTTGGAGCCTGTCCTGGAATTCGATCTGCCAGACCAGGCAGGCCTTGAACTTATAAAGATCCATCTGCCTCTTCCTCCTGAGTGCTGGGATTAAAGGTGTATGCCACCAATGCCCTAAACTTAAAGGCATGTGTCACCAATGCCCTAAACTTAACTTCTGAAAACAAACTGTAACATCTTATAATAGATTAGCATCTTTTATAAAACAAGAACTTTACATTGTCAGGCTTTGCTTAAAAATAATTCTAAATTGAAGCTCTTTAAGTACAAACATTAATAAAAACAAACATTTTAAAAAAACTGGTTTCAAAAAGAAATTTAAATTCCCTTAAGGTCTTTCTGTAATATATAGAAGCATTAACATTTTAAATCTTAACGTAAAAACTTGTTTATAAGATGGTACCTCTAATTTCCATGCGGTCAACTTTAGTCAAGATGGCAGTTCAAGTATCCTTTTTTAACTTTAGCAAAATGGCTACCAGTCAGCCATGTGACGAGTTTGCCATGTGGCTGGTTACAAAATGGCCGTAACTTGCACCCTTTGCTTAACATGCTTGTAACAGAACCAGGAAATAGAACATTTTTAAACAAGTATACATAAATTACTTGAGAAATAAACAGGACTTTTTAAAAACAGATTTAGCATAATAAGATTAAAATTTTAACTTATATTACCGATTTTAAAATTTACTATTTGTTGACATAAAAAACTGTAACTGTAACAACCTTTTCTCTGACCTTCTATGACTTGCTTTAACCCTTTATAAACTTTTAGTTCATTCCTCTGAATTTCTAAGACATTCTTAGACAAATTTCCTTTTTTCTTTTTCTCTTCATTATTTAAGTCCCCTATATTTTCCCTCATTTTTTAGTCAACATAAAAACTTTTATCGAAGTCCCTTTTTATAGTTCTTAATAACTTTAAGGCCATTTTTTTTAAATAAGTCCGGATCAGGCCAGATAATTTCATATGCTCGAGCTCCATGTGCTCAAGGCAGAGAGACCTGGGGTTGGGGTGTTGCTGGTAACCATCCTCACATGAAGCACACATAATTTCCATCTGCATTAAAGACATTTTGCAAATTATATATGTGATTTATTGGTTCTAGATTGCCCCACAGGTACATGTTGGATTGTGGATCACTTTTCCTGTCACTGATTCTTTTTGGCCATTGAAGTTTACCCAGGGACCTTTAAAAATGACCATACTGGTATACAGTATTTTTCAATGTCTCCCTTCCTATGAAGAAGTTGCTTTCATTCTATTTCAAGGACTCTGGGGACAACACATTACAAACTAAAGAGAAGACATGAAAACAGGTAGATCCTCAGAAAGGGAGCATCACATTTTTTTCCTTCAGAACAATATGGCTTCAATCAGACCTGACAGAACTAGAATGCTTCAGACCCATTAACGTGCAGCAAATGGTCCATATAGGCCCCTTTACCAGCTGACAGCCAAACAGCATTCTCATGACACAATAAGCTATGAGACATATATCTTTAGAACTAATGCCTTAAGAAGTGCACAGATACATATGTCCCTTTAAATTTATTATATACTTACAATCCTCCATGAGGAGACACATCATGTCTTTAATCATAACAAAAGGTCTCATAAATAAATGCAAGCCAGTACCAAAACAAAATCTTAACTTCTAATTGCCACAGCAGTTTACTGAGAAATAGACACTGAGAACAAAGGTCTTCGGAATGTCCTCAGTATATCAACATACAATGTGACATACATATCTGGATTTATGTGATCTTGTACATTCCATAAATACCAAAGTGTGGTTCAGACAAAATATGTTGGAAATTACATGTTTGCATTATTCACAGCAGACAAGTTACCTAAACATTAATAAGGGGAATCTGAGATCTATCCTGAAAGGAGAAATTAGGTGAGACATGTAACTTTCATGTCAGAGGCCTCAAAACTTCATATTAAGTAGAAGAAAGATTCGTATACTTCCCAACAAACAAGGATTCCTAGAATAGCTATTCATTCTCAACTGGGACTATTAAATTCCCGCTATAATGATAGAATGGTAGAGATACACATGTGTGCATGACAGTAATATTATAGCACCTCACACTTTTGAGAAGGAAGAAATGAAATAAGACCCTCAAGGTTCTGAATATTTCTCATTCTGTGAAAACAGGTACAAAGATAAGACATAGACTTAAAGTCATCATAGCTAATCTACTAAACAAAGATATACTAGGAAAATTCTCATATGTGGAAATTAACAGAAAATTAGCAGAAATAGCTAACAACAGGAGAATAGCACCAAATTTTCAGGAGTGAACTAAGAGTGGCAGGCAGGTCTCCATGTTCTAGGGGTAATTCAGACATTAATTATCTCTAATATATTGGGATAGATAAT